AATTGTGATAGATTCCATCCATGAACAATTGTTAAAGCTAGTAAAACTCTAACGGTAGTATGTTTAGTCACAAGACTAAATGTTTCTTAGAAGTCAAATCCTTCTCTTTGACTATACCTTTTGACTATCAGCCTAGCCTTATATCTCTCAATATGACCATAAGACTTTAACTTCACCTTATACATCTATTTATAGCCAATTGAATGTTGTCCAACATGTAAAGGCACTACCTCCCAAGTATGATTATCCTCTAAAGCATCAATTTTAGATTGCATGGCCTTTCTCTAATGAGCAAACTTCACGACTTGATGATAAGTTTATAGTTCATAGATGAAAGATCGAGAATCATTAAATGTCTTCCGAGATATAGACAAATGAACATTTGAAACATAATGATGTAAAGGATATGGAGTTTGACATATAGAAGACACTAAATGACTAAGATTATGTTCATAATCATTGTGATAAGTAGGTAGTATGGAAGTTTAAGAAATTTTCCTCTATGGTTGAATAAAAGGATTAGTAGCTATTACTTGCAGGATTATTAGTGGATGTTACTATATGATTAATAAGAATTGCAATAGAAGAAGGAGAGATAATACTAGATTGATCACCAATTTGGTCAATAATATTATTAGAATCAACATGATTATGATTAGAATAAATGAAGGAAGAATCATTATTTTGATCATGTAGAGAAGATGATAAAGGAGACACAACATTATTAGAATGATCGAAGACATTATGCATTGGAACTATTTTAGAAAAATCAAAGAAGGAAAAAGATTGAGTATTATTGGAAGAATTATGATTGAAAGATTGTATACGGTATAAAAAAACTTGTTTAAGAAATACTACATTTCTAGAAACAAAAGTAGTATGATTCCGAAGATTATAAAGTTTTTATCCTTTGATTTTAATAGGATAACCAATAAAGATACATTGCCTACCTTGTGGATCAAATTTCTTTCTATTATGAGAAAGAGTAGAAGCAAAACACAAAGATCTAAACACTCGAAATGGTTATAAGTTAGAGATTTATGGAAATAAACTCATATGGTGACATATTTTGTAAAATGGGACTAGGAAGTCTATTGATTATATATATGGCAATTAGAATAACATTTCCTCATAATTTGATAGGCAGTGATACTTGAAAAAGAAAAGACCTAGCCATAACAAGAAGGTGTTGACGTTTCCTTTCTACTACTATATTTTGTTGTGGAGTTTCGACATGTGAATTTTGATGTAAAATACTCTTAGATTTATAAAAGTCGGTAAGAATGAATTCCGAACCATTATCGGATCTAAGTTAAAGTATAGTATAATCAAACTAAACTCGTTATTAGATTGTAAATGCAGGTATAAGATAAGAAATATCGGGTTTGGTTCTCATAAGAAATACCCAAGTACTCGTGAAATCATCTACAATGGTAAAAAATAATGAAAACTATATATAGCAGAAACATAATATAGGCCCCAAATATCCATATGAATAAGTTCAAATGGTTAGACAACATTTCTAACATGTATTAAAAAGTGTAATCTTTTCTATCTAGTTAAAGGGAAAACGAGTATAAGGAAAATGTGAATTACAATGTGTTTGAGAATGACACTACCGTAAAGTTTGGACTTTATCAATCGAAGTATGTCCTAATTCGAAATGCCATAAATCAAAGGATTTATTAGCAAGATTATTACAATGTGTTTGAGAATGACACTACTAAAAGCGTGTTATGAATGAATAAATAGTAGAAACTAAAAAATGATCATGCACTTTAGAATATAGTAGAAATAAGCATGAATTGAGCTTAACAAGTCTAGTCATTATCCAGGAATGAAGGTAAGTATTTCCAACAAAAATTAGTCTATAGTGTTTAGATACGGTGAATTTGCTTATTGATAAGAGATTGTATATAAAATCGGGAATAAACAAGACATTGGATAGAATCGGTTTTGAAAATATTATGATATTACCAATATGTGTAATAGCGATTCTGTTTCCATTTAGTAATTGCACAAATATAAGGAAAAAATAATATGATATATTGCACCAGTATCTACAATCCGGATATGCTTATATGTAGAAGTGTTTGATGAAAAAATGTTGAAGAGAAAAGTATATGTTTTAGACTAACAAATTAGATTAGAGACATTGTTACCTATAATATTGAAAATCGAAGGAGAATTGACAAGTTTAGGAGTTGATACTAATGAATTTTGCTCATTTAGAAGGATCATGGGTTTCTAATATTGATCTTTAGTTAAGGAAATATGTTTATCATTAATGTCTTTTGCATAATCCATTAAACTAGTCACAATGTTAGCTATATGTCGAAGTGTAGAAGTAGGATAAGAATTAACAAATTTTTTTCTATCGAACTTAAAATTTGCTCTAAAACCAATCGGTTTATAGCATTTATCCTTAGTATGCCCAATCTTCTCACAATATTCACACACCAAGTCGGATCTTGACTTCTTCTTTGTTTTAGTCACGAGCTTCCATTGCCACATTTTCTATGAAAGGTTGGCATAAGGTATGTATAGGTCTTTGATTCTCCATTTTCGGGATCGAGATGTACACTTCATCTAGAATTTACAATGGCTTCATAAATAAGATTTACACTTAAGTGAAGCATAGGATTCATTAAGTCTATTTATAAACCTTAAAAACATTCCTCCATAAAGACAATGAGGCAATGAGACAATGGGTATTTACATGTTCTTTCTACTAAATATCAACAAACTTTTGAAAGCATTCCTCTCTACGTCCTCCACAAAGATAATGAGGCAAAGGTCTAATAATTATTTAATTCTTTCCAAAAACCATTTAACTCCGTAAAATACCCATTTATAGACCTATTTCCTTGAGAAATATTGCACAAAGACATCTACCAATTACGTGATTCTTGCATCATCGAGTCGTAAAACTCTTTTCTTCAAAGTTATCCATAAATTTGTTGCTAAATCAATGTAGAAAGCCGAAGATATAATAGTTGACGAAATTGATCTCAATAACCAAGCAACCATAAGATTATTACACCTCACCCGGACATTATACAAAGAATCAATAACTTTTGATGGTTTAATCGAACCATCCACAAATCGAGTCTTCTTCGATCAAGAATGCAAACGAAATGATCTATTCCAAGTAGCATAGTTACTTGATGTAAGCTCTAGTGAAACCACAACTAATCTATGATGATTAGAGAGATGTAAGTAATAAGGTGAAGCATGATCTTTCATTAGAGAAATTGTAGAATCAATTGTTCTTGAAGCCATATATGAATTCAACGTTGAAATCCAATGAAGAAAAAATTTGATTCAATTGATTAACGAATCAATTGTGTCACAAAATCAATTGAGTGATGAATCAAACCGATTCAATTTGAGAAAATGATGAACTACAAAAGTTCATAAAACCGTAAAAAATTGACCACTCGATACCATTTTAGAAGAATGAAGAGAAAGAAAAAAAGAGTTGCAGAGAAATAGTGAAGAGAAAAACTGAAATTTTTATTCTTTTTTCTTAGTTAAAGAAAGTGTTATTCATCTAGTAGATATACTAACTTTAACAAACTAAACTAACTAACTTAATTAATTAACTAACAATTAGTTAAGTTAATTAACTAACTAGTTAACTAATTTTATATTTAGTTAAGCTCACTTATCATTAGTTAACTAGATTAGTTAGGCTCTTTCTTTTCACAGTCCATTTTGATCATTTTCTCTTATGGGAGAACAGCCCCTAAAATACGAGCGTAAATTAATAGCATTATCATGAATTGTGCAAGCAAGCCACCTATTTCATGTTTTGAACAAAGGATGTTGTAATTCACCTTACAATGCAAACTAGTAATGATTCGGCCGTGCATTTAAATCAGAAATACGCTGAACCAGTACATTCTAATGGCTGTACCTTAATTTCTTCATCATGAATGACCAAACAGGTTTATCAAATTCTTAGTTTTTTTTATTTTTATTTTTATTTTTAACATGGCCTTGAATACAAGATATTTTGGAGTGAAGGGCAAAATTGGACATGCAAATGGAGCTGCAACTTAAATGGGAATACCTACACAAGTTGTTTGACTCTGAAGCCATCAGCATGGACCAGAAGTTATATAGTTAGTTTGACCAAGTCAATTTGCATCCATTCTTGCAATTATTGTTTCTGATTTCTTCTAGGTGCAAGCTGTCATGATAGAAACCTTTTTTTTTTTTTTTTTTTTTTTTTAAACGGCCGAATTTCCAATAGAAAGGCCAAAGGCCTGATTAATGCTAACTTCGGCACAAAGCGCCAGGGTCACACGAAACAGGTAAATGCCCCAGTTCATCCGTTCTCTCTCTCTCTTTCTCTTTTCCTTGATTACAGGGTAGAGATTCCAACCCAAAATCTCTCATAAATATATACCGATTGAACTTCAATCTAATTTAATATCCACTATTTGAGGACATATATTTTGGTTGAATTTTCAAAGGACTTGGGCACTAACTGTAAGGAAGAAAAGTTTTAAAAATCACAGCTCATTATTTCAAAAGAAAGGATCAAATGATCGGAAAACATAACACTAATGAATAGGGCTATCTTTTTTTGAACAGCAAAAAGCCTACCTTTAATACATCAAGTATATGCTTAAGATGCTTTTTTTTTTTTTTAAAGAAATATAGTATAAGAGAATAATATAAAACATATTTTATGATTTATTTAATAATTTAATTTTTTATTAGAATAGTTATTTAATATAGTATCAAAATTTTAATAATCAAAATAGCATATAATTTCAATTTTTTTAATTAATTAAAAATAAGATCAAAAGTTTTCATTTAAAAAAAATAAAAAAATATAAATTATATTTATTATAGATAGTAACTTTGACCCTCAAGCGTTTGTCGGAAAAGCCATCTTTATCTGCTTATAAAAGATCACCTTCAGCCCTTGTTAAATATCAACGATACCTACAACTCTCTTAAGCAGGAATTAGATGTCTTCCTACCAGATGGAACTGCCAAAGTTGTTTTCTCTATGTTTGCTTCTATCAATATCCTTCGTTGCCCACTCTACCGTTCCTCCTTCTTCAACATTTAAGTATGTCAATGAAGGAGAGTTTGGCTTCTACAGTAGTGAGTATGCTCCAGATTATCGTCCCCTGGATATCTTTAATTCCCCATTCCAACTTATATTTTATAACACCACCCCTAATGCATACACTCTAGCTCTACGTATGGGTACTAGGAGGTCAGAATCAACAATGCGTTGGGTTTGGGAAGCCAACAGAGGCAACCCAGTTCGTGAAAATGCCACTCTCACCTTTGGAGAGGATGGAAACCTGGTCTTGGCCGAAGCTGATGGCAAGGTTGCTTGGCAAACCTACACTGCCAATAAAGGTGTTGTTGGCTTCAAATTGCTACCAAATGGTAACATGGTACTTCATGATTCTAAGGGCAACTTTATTTGGCAAAGCTTTGACTCTCCTACTGATACTCTCTTGGTGGGCCAATCTCTTCGTGTTGGAGGTGTAACTAGGCTTGTGAGTCGGGCCTCTGCGAAGGAGAACTCTGACGGAGCCTATAGCCTGGTCATGGAATCCAAAAGACTGGTGATGTACTACAAGAGTCCGAATTCCCCGAAACCATATCTCTACTACACATTCGATGCACGCGAAGATCGTCTACAAAATGTGACGTTAAATTGTTTACCAGATCCTTATGACAATTTGGCCAATGAAGTAACTTTGGATTTATCTTCTGGGGGTTGGAGCGTATTCGCTAGGCCTAAATTCAACGCTACATTGTCATTTCTCAGAATTGGGATAGATGGGAATCTTAGAATCTACACTTACAACAATAAGGTGGACTACATGGCATGGGATGTGACCTTCAATCTCTTCTCTAGAGATGGTTTTCCGGAGAGTGAGTGCCAATTACCTGAGAGGTGTGGTCAGTTTGGGCTCTGTGAAGATAGCCAATGTGTTGCTTGCCCATTGCCAAGTGGACTCATGGGCTGGAGCAAGGATTGTGAACCCGTGAAGCCACCTGCCTGCGGTTCTAAGAATTTTTACTACTATAAACTAGAAGGTGTTGATCATTCCATGAGCAAGTATGCAAGTGGAAGCGGACCAATGAAAGAGGATGATTGTGGAAAGAAATGCTCAGGCGACTGCAAGTGTTTGGGTTATTTTTACAACAAGGAGATATCCAAGTGTTGGATTGCTTATGATCTCCAAACCCTCACCAAGGTTGCAAACTCTACTCATGTGGGTTACATAAAGGCACCAAAGCACTAAGGACAGTTCAACCATTTCATATACTCTTCAAGACTTTTAAATCGTCCAGTATAATAAAGTGACATTGTTCCCTATAGTTAATTGAGCTTGTGTGAATTAATGTTCTTATTTTCCAAGAGTTGCATTGTGAAAATTGTGTACCGCTGACAAAGAAAATTTGCATGTTCATGTTCTCCGCGTGTCAGAGTGCGTGTTTCCTTGGGTCCAATTGCATATTTATAAACCTGGCAATATCGAGAAAATTTTATTAGTTGAAACGGTACTTGGGAGTAATTTTATAATACACCAAGAGTAATTAGTGTCATGTATAGTAGTTACTTACGTGCTCACTTTGAAAAGAGAAATAGACACAAAAAGAGAAGAGAGAGAGAGAGAAACAGGAGAGAGAAAATAAAAAAATTTGAGCGATACGTGAAAATCTTCTCATCACTTTTACTTGGATGTGAATGTAATCTCACTATTTTTTTTTGTATGTCTATCTCTTTCTTCAAAGTGGGCTCGTAGAGTAACTATTGTACATGTCACTGAGTTACTTTTGATGTATTATAAAATTTGTCACTGTAGAGGGACCTAAAAGCCACCTCCCGACCCTCTATGTATACAAGTGGCAAAGCATACTAGGGAACAATCAAGCCAAGCCAACTATAACAAAGATAAAGTATTAAAAAAAAAAAAAAAAAAAGAAGGGAGGACATAGCCCTCACCTAATATAACAAAACTATAATCTTCGAAAAGTCGAATCTCTACAAAATCAAATACCTGTCGTGAAATGTTTCTCCTTATAAAAAGTCGAATCTACTAAAAATCATGCCTTATAATGACAAGGAGATATGCAACACTATTAACCTCTCAATAAATATGCCGAATGCTTATCCGGCTAACCAAACTTATAATAGTGTTAATTTCGAGTTCACTACACCGTAAATGCGTTATAAAGGCGGAATCATTGGAGGCGGTTCGTTGACCACCTCAAAGATTAATAGTATATATCTAACCATATTTTTTTTATAAAAGAAAAAATTATGAGATGGTTGATATAACTACCCCAACTTTTAAGGTTTAACCTTTTATATATATATTACCTATTGTGATTCTCAAAAGAGAAACAAAAGCTTCATGCTCCCGCCCCTTACTTGACATAGGTGCCTCTTTTGAGGTTATTTGTTTCTCCTATCACACCCCTTTCCCTTGACAAAAAGAAATTAAGATTTTTCCTCTTCTCCTTCAACAACAAACCGCCCATTTTTCACCTTCTCTTTCAACAATAAACCGCCCTCTTCCTTTGAAAAAAAATAATAGGATTTTTCATCTTTTCCTTCAACAACAAACCTCTCTTTTCCCTTGACAAAGAAATTCCTTCAACAACAAAGAATAGGTTTTTTCACCTTTCCCTACAACCTCAAAAAAATTATTATTATTATTATTTTATCTTCCCCTTCCACCCCTTCCTTTGACAAAAGCAATGTTATGAAGTTCAATTGCATACCTAGCCTCATTGATTCTTGATTCAAAATTTCTATAATAATCTCGTAATCTCATAAGTGATATTGTCTTAATTATATGAAAGTCATATCTTGTTTTTCTTAATTTATGTCACATCAACAATTTTACTAGGTAGGCATTTTTTGGATTTTTTTACTCTATCCATGGTTAGATAATAGGTTAGATGAACCTCTTTTATGCTTTTTTTACTCTACGTTTGAATTTGCTTTCCTTCTCTGTTGAATTAGAGGCTTATACCATCATTTTTCTACTTGCCTCTCGAATTTTATTGATATGTTGATGGCCAAATCTTGACTTTACAATTGCTTTATATGAAATCAAACACATAGGGATTATGCCGGTAATTCATTCTATTTCCTTATGCAAAAAATGGTCATAATTGTGATGCAATCCATCCTTGGTAGCAACCATTAGGACAAAAAGTCACCTTAATTTAGCTTAAGTGTTAGTCATATTGTTGTAGATAATCAATGTAAACCTTCAAGTCAAGTCCGAAATGGCGAGGCCTTTTTTTTTTTTAATCATAAAGCAATATTCAATATGTAATTGGATAATGGAATAATACATTTGTCCATACATTGCTTTTAGATTGGTCGATGTAACAAATGACAAGTAAATTTGGCAACCTAGATATGCTCATGATAAACTACAATGATTGCATTTAGTCAAGAGATAATATTAGATGGATAAACACCATCCAATGGATGAGTGTTGTGCCAAATAAAAGTATTGAAGCAAAATTGTTTTGTCCTCTCGGGTCCTATCTTATGTATTTTTAATGGATGGGTTCTTAATTTAGTTACTTTTAAATAATTCTCTTACTTAATAATTTAAAAAAAAAAACAGAAGGTCAAAACAGAGGCTCATTTATGGATTTTTTCTTACTACGGGGAATAATTATCAACTCATAACTTTTGATAGTGGCTTTACTTGCTAACTTGTGCTTAGTGTCATAGGCTTTTTACCTCTTAAGGTAAACACTCGAATTTCTACTAGTTATGTTTATGTAAGTTAGGCAACATGACAGTAGTATCTTTCAAAATATGGTGAGTGATGAACCTATTTGATAATATAACTAGTTTGCAAGTAGTATTTTTTGTTAAGAAAAGTCTTTATTGTATTTGTTTTCGGGATTTTAATAGATTTATGAAATGGATAGAAGTTTGATAAATAAGACTAGAACTATTATTAAATACAAAAAGGAGTTAATGAATTTCTTGTATTAGCATTTTGTAATGCATCTTTTTTGTCCTTGCATTTGATGTGGTAATTCTTCTTTACAAACTCATGAAGATAAAAGAATTCACTTAATTTGCATTGCCTTTGTAAGGGTACACTAGGTGGGTTTTTTCATAGAGAGATTTTTTGTGTTAATAACATCGGGTCATTGTTTTATGTTCATACCTCATATGTATAAAGAGTGAATTTTGTTGCGGAATCAATTTGGTTAATTTGATGAGGCATAAATGAATTATGAAATTAATAGGCAAGTGTGACAAGTTTAATATAAAGCAACATAATGAGCAATCCGCCCAAGAGTCGAACGTATTTAATGATTTGCTGAAAAATATGAGTGAAGAGTTATATCTTGGATGTAAGAAATTTTTTAGGCTAGCTTTTATATTACATTTATACCATTTAAAATGTTTAAAAGGATGGACTAAGGAATCATTTATTACGTTGCTTGAGTTATTGACTATTGCATTTCTTGAAGGTGCATTGTTTCCTAAAACATTTTATGAGGCAAAAAAAAAAAAAAATCATTAAAGACTTAGGTTTTGATTGTGAGAAGATAAAAGAATGTTTAATTAATTGTATGTTATTTTAGGGTGTTAAAAAAGATCTTGAAGTTTGTAATAAATGTCATACTCGGTGGCAAAAAAAAAAAAAAAGGTAGAACAATACAGAAGGTGATAATAGTCTAGTAGAAACTTTAGGTCATAGCAAGAAAAAACTAGTAAAAGTCTTGCACTTTCCTCCGATACCATGTTTGCAAAGATTATTTTGTTCAAACAAAAATGCAATCAAAATGAGATGGCATGAAAAAGGTCTTAAGAAAGATGGATTTTTAAGGCATCTTGGAGATGGAGAAGCATGGAAAGCTTTTGATGCTTGATATCTAGATTTTGCTTCGTAGTATCATGATATAAGGCTTGCACTTGCTAGCGATGGTTTTAATCCTTTTAGAATAATGAGCACTACATATAGTACATGGCCTGTTGTGTTGATTGTATATAATACTTCACCTTGGATTTGTATGAAAAAAATCATCATTTATCTTATCAATGATTATTCTAGGTGAGAATAGTCCAGGAAATGACATTGGTGTGTGTATACAACCTTTGATAGTAGATTTTAAAAAGTTAAAGATAGGTGTAGAAACTTATGATGCTTTTACAAAACAATCATTTACTATAAGAATTACGTTGATGTGGACAATAAATGACTTTCCCGCTTATGCAAAATTATCTAGTTGGAGTACAAAAGGAAAGTTTGCATGCCCGTGTTATACCGAGTCCACTCTTCAAAATGGATGTACAAAAGTAAGAAGCATTTTTTTATAGTTCATTGTCAATGGTTACCTAATGATTATGTATTTCGTTACCCAAAAGATTGCTTTCATGGTACCAAAGAGCTACGAATGACACCATTTAGAAAAAGTGATAGTGATGCGAGTGAAATAGTTAGATAACACCCATTATATGTTTGGAAAATTAGTTTAACATGAGAAAAGGGAAAGGGTTGTGAAAAGGAAACAAAGCAAAGCTAATGTTAAGGGCTTGAATGCTGAAGGGACGGTTAGTGGATCTAATGATGATGAGGATGCAAAGAGGTGGTGAAAGAAAAAAAAGCATATTTTTTGAATTATCTTATTGGGAGTTTAACTTATTGCATCATAGTCTTTATGTGATGCATATTGAAAAGAATTGTGTGATAATGTGGTTGGAACCTTAATGAACCATGCCACTAAGTCAAAAGACAATCTAAATGCATATCTTAATTTAGTGGATTTAGGTATTAGGTCCGATCTTCACCCTTAGGTGCTTGATATTGGTAAAAATAGATTGCCCCTGTTTATTTTACCATTCAATAGTAGAAAGAGAAATCTTTTGCAAAATTCTTCATGTTTTAAAATTGCATGATGGTTATGCAATTAAATTTCAAGATGTGTAAATCTTAAGAAGCGTAAATTATTTGGTCTTAAGAGTCATGTTGTCATATTTTGATTGAATATATTTTTTCTATTAGCATTAAGAGCATGTAATCCATTTGAAGAGGTGACTTCGATGATAATTGAATTGTCCGCTTTCTTTAAAGCAATATGCTCAAAGGTGTTAGATGTGAATGAGCTTGACAAAATACATAACCTTATTGTTTTGCCTCTTTTTTAGATGGAAAGGATTTTTTACCATCATTTTTCATAGTTATGGCGCATTTAACTATTCATTTAGTGGATGAACCTATATCTCCTATACTTCATAGATCTTACAATGATG